CGTCCCAGGGAGAGCAAGAGGATGTGAGCACCTAGAATGTGCTGGAAACCACACTGCACCGATTCTGCAGAGGAGAGATGTTTGGCCCCATTTCACAGGCAAGGAAGATCGAGGCTCAAAGCAGGGTGGGTTGCCTAGCAAAAGGATGACGATGCTGAGGCTGGAGCCCCATTTGAGTTGCAGGCATTGGTTTTTCCTTACCTGCCAAGTACATGTGATGATGGCTGCCTTAGAGGGTTGCTAGGAGGGTAAAATGAAGGACTGAGCCTGGGGTGCTTTGGAGGTTATCTTGACTCCTTGTGGGAAGAGCATTCAGAATCTTGCCATCACCATTGCTTATTATCAGCTCAGCCCATTGAGGGCTGCAGAGACTTTCCTCCATCGTGTCTCACTGTGTCCTTAGTGGCAGGGTGAGGGAGGCATGAGCGTGAACATGAGATCCATCTTACAGGAGAGGGGAGTGAAGCTTGGAGAAGCAGAATGCCTTGCCTGCCAAGGCTCTGCAGTGTAGAAGCGGCAAGATCACCTTGGAAGGTCATGGTTAAATGTCCTTAGCAAAGTAAGGCGGGTAGGTGCTATGTACCCATTTTACAGATCAGAAATGAGAAGTCACAGGTGGAAAGCCAAAGGACTTGCCTCTGCAGAAATTAAGATTTGTTTAAAAAGGAGGAGGGAAAGATGACCCCCTTTTCTCAGTCTTTCTCTCTTTATCTCTATTATTTAAAGTAAAAATAAAGTGAGAATAACCCTCCCTTTTCCCCTCTTGTCCTTCCTCCCTGCCTTTGATGTTTTTAGGAGTCAAGTGTAGAATTAGCAAAAAAGGCAGACTCATGCCCACTGAGGGTAAGGGCCATTGCCTGGTCATAAGTGAAACATTCATTACGTTCCTACCATATGTCAGGCTGTGTAGGGAGCGGACAGGGGTGTTGACATTTCTATCAAGGAATTCAGAGTCTTGGGATTTCAGGGTGTTGTTACCCAGTGCAACCTTGAAAACGGCTCTCTTACTTGACAGAAAGGAAAATTCCAACCCAGAAGGTTTACACGAGTTCCTCAAGACCTTCAAACCACTATCTCTCATTAAAAAAAAGTAGTGCAGTCATGAAGTGAGCAGACTCAGAAATGGGACTGGCAGGAGTGAATCTGGGCTATTACCACTCACTAGCTGTGTGACACTAAGCTGGTTGCTTTACTTCTCTGGGCAACAGTGCATTCCGATAGCAACTGGGGCTACTTTGCTGTCAGCAATGGGAATTTCCAGTAGCAACTGGGAGTGAGTTTTGTTAGCGATGGGAAGGTGATTCTGGAGTGCCTAATTCTGATCTGCCGTTGATCTCCCCATCCTGGCAGGATTTTGGGCTGACAAAGTTTCGGTGCGTGATAAATAACAATCAAATGAGGAAGAAAGTATTCTTTATTCTTCAGCTCCAAGTTCAAGAGAGACTTCTGATTTCCCATAAATATAAATCTTGGGACCTGTGTGCTCAGGATTGCCTGTAGGGAGAGAAAGATGGCCAGATGCTGCGAGGTGTCCTAAGTGCATGTACCCCCCCAGGTATATGAAGCAAATAAAGACCAGTGGGGATGGCCAGAGATTCCCCCAGGAGAAAACCCTGGTTTGACAGAATCAGGCAAGTGGGTGCTGATTCCATAACTGAAATGTGGCACAATGTATATTGTACACTGTTCAAAGAAGGATCTCAGTGTATTTTTCTCTGGTTGAGAGCTGGAAAAAATGGTTACCAGAAAGGGCAGAAGAGTTGGGTTGAGATATGAAATTCCCTTCTAACGTCTTTCTTAAAGGGTTGTCTCGGCCAGGTGCAGTGGCTGATGCTTGTAATCCTAGCACTTTGGGAGGCTGGGGTGGGTGGATCACCCAAAGTCAGGAGTTCAAGACCAGCCTGGCCAACATGGTGAAACCCCATCTCTAATGAAAATGCAAAAACTTGGCTGGGTGTGGTGGCAGACGCTATAATCCCAGCTGCTTGGGAGGCTGAGGCAGGAGAATCACTTGAAGCCGGGAGGCGGAGGTTGCAGTGAGCTGAGATTGTGCCACTGCACTCAAGCCTGGGCAACAAGATGAGACTCTGTCTCATCTTTCACATACAGAGTGAAAATAAGAGTTGCTATTATTGTTATTTTTATCAGTGGATACCCATTAGTAGCCCAAGCTACCCTTAGCCTCTAGATGAAATTAGAAGCCATGTGTCCTGACTGTCTGCATTCTTCAGGATGCATCAGGAAAACAGAACCCCCCTAGGTATTTCAATCAGGAAGAGATTGAATACAGGGAATGCAATGCTTAGAAAACTGTTGGAAGGTCAGGGAACTTCTGCAGCACTTAAGATAGCAGGGTGTGCAGGGATTCCTGCAGAGCACCCCTGCTCATGTCCTCGGCTGCCTACAGCACTGATGTGGGTTATTTAAGAGAAAATGTCCAGAAGATGCTGGGAAGCACCAAATGTCTGCTTTCTGCAGAAGTCCCGCTGATGGTGGGACAATAATGCTTTCTTCTTCTCTCCTGTCGTCCAGATCTCACACGAATACTTCACATTGAGGGAAGCTGAGCTGGAACTCTACTGGCAAAGGAGCTGGGCAAGTATAGTTCCCAGGCCTCTAGCCTCATGATGCAGGGGAGTATGTGGCAGGAAGCCCCAGTGGCACTGAGATGCCAACAGTCCAGCTCTCTGTGCAGGGTTCCCCACCTCCCTAGAGGTTTTCTGACTGTGCTTGGGGTCCCCAGGGAACGTAAGGAACTGTAAGGGGGGCAACTATGAGGTGCACAGAATTTCACGTTCACTTCCTACTTTCAACACGATCAGCTCAACCCATTTTATTCATTGGATTTTATTTGAAAAAAGAATTTCATGCAAAGTTTGACTCTCATTGGATCACAGCACATGGGTTGAAGAGCGTTAAAGAAAAAATTTTTCTGACATATGTGAAAACAGGAAGACTTGACAGGACTATCTTGTTGGGTATCAAGACAATTGCAATAGGGGAGAGAGATCAGGTTCAACTTCCAATGCAACAAGTGAAGATTTATGATCAAGGGTGGCAGGTTAGGGAGTGGGTAAGTGGATGGAAAATTAGTAAGAGGGGAGGTCAAAGGAAGGAGGGACTGCTGCTGAAGGCAGACCAAGGCGAACAGATATTACCTGGGGGACAGTGGAAAGGTGAGGGATTTGACTAGATAGGAAGGGTGACCAGTTTTCGGGGGAGAAGGGACAGTTCTCCCTAAACCAGCTCAGCAGGATTCTTACTACAGCTGGGCTCTGCAGGCTTTGCAAAGACAGGTGCCAAGGTCGTCAAGGCTTAGCTGAGAGGAGGATTCAGAGGAGCCCGACTACCACTCGGTCAAGGAGAGAATCTTTGTCAAGAGACAAATGTAGCTTTATAAAAGGACTACCAGGATTCCCCTGTTGGTTTATATGAAGCAAAGGGAGGCACAGACCATCTTGTCTTGTCTTCTCCATGTTTTAGGATCCCAAGCACAAATCTTGCTTCTCCTCCAGCCTGCAGTGCTCATGCAAATAGATGCCTTAGGGTAGAGCAGGCCCAACGTGCCAAATTAGGCTCAGCTGGGATCTACGGTTCTGTGGGTTTTTTTTTTTTTTTTTTATGATTCCATGGTTTTTAGTATTCTTTGATTCTTTAGCACTATATCCTCAACTTCTATAGCTCTTTGATTTTGCATTTCTTTGATTCTGAGATATGATCCGGGGACATGGACTCTCTGTCTCAATTATTTTAAGAAATAATCTTTATTCTTTTTTTTGGATTAATGTTGGATTAATGTGTCTAAGCTCCTCTTGTGAGACAATGGTTCATACCAGGGTGGGACATCAGGGGCAAGGGATGATGGGGGTGCCACTGACTAAGAAATCTCATCGATTGGCTGCATCTCAGGTTAAAACCAGAGCAACCACACCTGGGATCAGGCGTTAGGGGCCATCGTGTGACCAGGAGAGCGAGAGGGTGCCAGGTGGTTAAAAGTGGGTGCAGGGAGGATGGAGTGGGAGGTGAGGGGCAATAAATGAAAATGAAGCAAACATCATATATTTGATATGGCAGAAAAGGGATGCTGAAATTCCTCCCACTAGGGTTTGGGCAAACCCTGTGGTTCTCTGTGATAAGCCCTTTCTATCTCCTTTCCCTGTCAAGCCTTCCTGCTATATCGCACTCTGCTCCCTACCAGGGAGCTAAATAGCAACCTGTGTATTTCATCTAGGTCAGTTACTTAACAATCATAAGGAACCAATTTGAATTTAAATGACTGCCTTCTCTATACAACACAACAGTAATAGCAGTAATAATAATGACTTCTGAATTAGTCAGCATCAGCTGGGCTGCTGTAACAGACAATCCCAAATCTCAGAAACAAAGTTTATTTTTCACCCCTGTGGAGTCCACTCTGGGCCTAGGCACCATGATCCATGTGGTGACTCAGTGACTCAGGCTTTTTAAATTGTGTGCTTCTGTACTGCAGTTTGAGGATGCTGTGTCAGAGCATGAGAGAGATTGGAAAATCTCATGGGGACGGCACACTTCCTTGGCCTGAAGTGATGCTCAGCAAGCACTTCCACTCACAAAGCCAGTCATATGACCCCGTAGCCGGAAGAGGTCAGCAAAGATAGTTTTCTGTGCATCCAGGAAGAGTTAATATAAAACAACATTTAGTGAACATGTAATTTTCTCTCTGTTGCAATTACTACTTCTTTTTAAATAGGTATCACAAGACAGTTACTCTGCAGCAATTTATTTAAATCATTTCAAAGATCCTTACAGATGAGGAAACTGAGACCCCAGATAAATGGAATCACTTGCCTAAAGTCACACCTATAATGGCAGATCCAGAATTAGAAGGCGGGGTTCTGTTTCTCCATAACCTGTGCCCCTCACTGTTCAGATGATGGATCTGAACAGCTAAAGAATCAAAGAATACTCCCTCCACCCTTCAGCTACAGCCTGGAAACCATTGCCTTTTCTGCTTCCGGCAGCCACGCCTGGATCTGTGCGAGGAAACACACCTGCTGATCGGGAATCCCGCACTGGGGATGTGACACTCACAAAAGGTGATCAGTGGTTCCTGACAATTTTTTTTTTTTTTCATTTAGGCAAAAAATACGGAAAGCATATTGTGATCTTTGATTTTCTTCCATTTCCCATCTGTTCTTTATTAGGAGTTCAAACTTAATAACCTTCCAGAGTTGGTATCAAATTCAGATGCTGACACTCCTTGGAGAGGTTCTTTGAGGCAACAGGATGGAAAGGATCGCTCTGCTTTTGTTTTTCTCCTGCTGTTCTGTCTGTAAGTCCATCTGTTTCTCTTGCCCTCTGTCTAGAATCCTTCCCATTCAAAGGTCAGCCCTTCAAAGGTGAAGGAGGAGATGACGTGCTGTATCATTTCAGGGGTGCTGAATTGATCTCGTGTCCCCTCAGGTGTCTCCCGTGAGTGCTCTGCACATCAAACCCCACCATTCAAAGATCTTCTCTTTAGCTTATAAATCCTCTGAAGGAACCTTTTCAGTGATTAGGAAAACATCTTAAACTAAGCAGATTTCAGAGGGGAAAAGAAGGCAGAGAAGAAAGAGCGCAGTCGGGGCAAGAGTGCTGACTTGGGTCAGAAAGTTGCTGGAGTTGAGTCACACATAAGCCACCCACCTGGAATATGGGGTTAGCCAGTCACCTAACCTCTCTGACTCTTTCTTCATCTATAAAATGGGGTTGTTTTAGATTCATCTTACAGGGTCACAGTGAAAATGAACAGAGATGGTAAAGACAACTTATATTCACCCACTGTTTTTGCAGCATAGCAGAAAAATATTCTGGAATATTAACTAAGGTCTTGCATATGTGTGTGTGTGTTTTTAATTCCATGCATTTATTTATGTCCTGTGACCAGCGTCCCCCTTCAGGCAGCTGCAGCCAGACCATGTGGCAATTATTGCCTCAAGGAAAGAATGACACAGCACAAAGCAGATAGGGACCAAGTCAAATTCTTGGCTTTCGAATTTGAAAAGCCAGCCAAGGTCTGGGCAGATGACAAAAGATATGGAAGGATGCAAAAGCATAGCCTCCCTGTTTTCAGAACAGAAAAGACTCTGAGTTGCAGAACAGGCACTGATGCATCCTTTAAAAGAGCATAAAGGGCTTAAAGTGAGGAGTGAAGGAGGGTTTTTGCAACCTCAGACATGAGTGAGAACATCTCAGCAGAAGCCAGTGAGATAAATACACCCTGAAGAACCAGATAAGCCCCATTCCTGACACCCTGTGGGAGGCCAGCCTCCCAGATAAGCTGCCCTGAGTCCTATTTCCTGGGATTCATACCCTCATTCATTCTCTTCCTTTATTATTTATTTATTTTCAAAAGACAGGGCCTTACTCTGTTGCCCAGGCCGGAGTGCAGTTGTATGATCACGGCTTACTGGAGCCTTGAACTCCTGTGCTCAAGCGATCTTCCTGCCTCAGCATCCCGAGTAGCTGGGACTACAGGCACGTGCCACCACATCTGGCTAATTTTTAATTTTTTTTCAGAGACAGGGTTCTTGTTATGCTATCCAGGCTGATCTTAAACACCTAGATTCAAGTGATTCTCCTGCCTTGGCTTCCAAAAGCAGTGGGATTGCAAGTGCAAGCCACCACCCCCCGCATCCTTCTTCATTATATCAGTACTGCCTGTGTGATCAATATTGTACAGAGGAGGTGATGTGTGACTTCTGAGATTACATCATGAAGGAATTGCAGCTTTTATCAAATCCTTTTGGACCCCTTGCCCTCAGGGAAGCCATGTGAGGAGGATGTCTGAGTAGCTCTGTGGAGAGGCTCCCAACCGACAGCCAGCATGAACTTGCTGGTCATGTGAGCACACCACCTTGGCAGTGGAGCCTCCAGCCCCAGTCAAGCCATCAGGTGAGACTACAGCCTGGCTTGTATCTGACCACAGCCTCATGAACAACGCAGAGCTAGGCCACCAAGGTAAGCTGCTCGTGAATTCCTGACCCACAGAAATCATGAGACATAATACATGTTCATTGTCACTTTAAGATGCTAAGGTTTGGGGTAATTTGTTATGCAGCAGCTGATAAACAATGCACTCAAGTTGGCATACTGCAATCCCCCCAGAATTTGGACACAGCCCTGGAGAAAGTGGGTAGGGGTCCCTAAATGAACTATGATGATATTTTTGCCACCTGGAAGGACACAGGCTGTAATAGCAATTATACTCAGTTACAGAACTGTAAAGTTATAGTTCTAGACTTCCTGAGTTTTTCGACTACCTGAAACATTGCAGCTCATTTAAAGGAGTTTCCAAATATATTTTCAGAACTCTGGAAGTCTGGGGAGAACACAGGACAAGAGGCACTAGATTTTGGGAACAAGAGTGCTCTTTTCCCCAAGTGGGCAAAAAGGGAGCTTGAAGATACATGCTTCTCCAATTTCAGAATTTGAGGGGACCGCTCAGCCTGTGCCCGTGTCTTCTCCAGGCTCCCTTTTGCTCCTCATTGCACCCCCTTCTATGAGCATGGACAAGCTCAGCTTGATGCCCAAGCCCTTCAATTTGTCTTGTTAGAAAACCCTTGTGTTGGGCCAGGTGTGGTGGCTCATACCTGTAATCCCAGCGCTTTGGGTGGATCACGAGGTCAAGAGATCAAGACCATCCTGGTCAACATGGTGAAACCCCGTCTCTACGATCAAGACCATCCTGGTCAACATGGTGAAACCCCGTCTCTACTAAAAATACAAAAAATTAGCTGGGCATGGTGGTGCATGCCTGTAATCCCAGCTACTCAGGAGGCTGAGGCAGGAGAATTGCCTGAACCCAGGAGGCGGAGGTTGCGGTGAGCCGAGATTGCACCATTGCACTCCAGCCTGGGTAACAAGAGCGAAACTCCGACTCAAAAAAAAAAAAAAAAAGAAAGAAAGAAAGAAAATCCTGTGTTAAAGAGACCATTAAAAAAAAGAGGGAAAGATAAATTGCTTGAAGCTGCAAGACTCAGGAGGCAAGGGAGAGCAGGTGAAGGGAAACAGGCCTGTGATTAGAGGGCAGGGGCGGCACCGGAGCCAGAGCAGGCAAAAACCTCCATTGGAGATGTCAAAATATTTGAAAATCCTCTTCCTTTGGTGAATTGAGTTACTAGAATTTTTTTTTTTTTTAATGTGGAGAAGAGTCTGAGATAGAGGTTAAGAATATAGTTTCCAGAGTCAGGCGGAGCTGGGCTGTGTCTCTTTCTAGCTGTTGTCAGACCTCAGGTGAATCTCTGAACCTCTCTGACCCTCGGTTTCTTCATCTAGCAAGAGGGGACAATGATATGCCTGTAAGAATGGCCCTAAGTGTCTACCTTTCTCTGTGTATGTGTCTTTTGGAATGTGACTTCATAGCTCTTCCCATGATGAGACAGAGCCCATTTCCCCACCCCTTGATGCTGGGATGGTCACGTGACTTATTTTGGCCACAAAATGGGGCAGAAGAGGTAATACGTCTGTCCTGAGCTTAGGTCTCAGGAGGCCTTGTGTAGTCTGTTCTCTCTGACCCTGTGACCCGCAGAGGAAGAGGCTCAGGTTGGCCTGTTGGAGGATGACAGGCCAACTGCAACAGACATAAAGTGTCTTAGCTGATCCCATTCCAGAACACTGTCCTTCCAGATGACCACAGATGCATGAGTGAGCCAGCCAATATCTTCTGAGACATCCCCAGAAAGACAGAACATCCACCTGACCCATAGACACATGGGCAATCATGGATACATGGATATTGTTTCAAGCTGCTAGGTTTGGGCTTGGTTTGCTACACAGCAGTAGCTGACAGCTACACCTCTATTTTAAGGAGTTGTGAGGATAAATTGCTAGGGTATAGAAAAATGAATAGCTTTAATAGCTAGTAGTGATTGAGTGCTGGCTCTGCCTGGTATTGTGCTCAAGAATTGGCCTGCATTATCTCAAAGACTTGAAGAGGCTAGAAGAGCTGTCGCTGAAGATTCTAGAAGCATTCAGATATAATGCCTGGCACGTGGTACCTGCTTCTTGTATGCTAGTCGTTGGAGCTGCTGATGCATGTGGAACTCCTGACACATGCCTCTGATTTGGTAGTGAGGTCTGAACTTTGTAATCTCTGTGTCCAGAGACCTTGGGAAGTCTTTAGCCAAGAGCAAACCAGGAGGGAGCTTTTGTGATGGAGAGGTTTCTTAGAGTGAATGGCATCCGGGTAGGGTGGGGAAAAGGCATCAGCCAAGGTGCGCCACACACTCCCCTCACTAGTGTGGTCCCTGGACCGGCAGCCTCAGCCTCCCCTGGGCTCTTATTAGAAATGCAGAATCTCAGGTCCTACCTCCGCTAACTGAATCAGTAAGCCCATTTTAACAAGATCCCCAGGGGATTTGTGTGTGTGTTAGAGTGTGACCAGAGCACTCTTCCCAAGCTATCTGTGCTGAGGCACCGGTATTTTTTTTAAATTCCAATTTATTGCAGAATGGCAGTTTAAAAAATATAGTAAAAAAGCAAATTTCTAGAAAAATTAAATGAAAAATAAGACATATACAATCTAAGCCCTTTTTTATTATTATATTCAATAATACAAAATTGCTGTCTGCCAAATTATGACAGAACTTTTTAAATACTTTTCTTTCTCTGTGTGTGTTCTTTGTGCATACCTCACTGTGGAAAGGTAACAAATGACTTGCCACCTGGCCTGGGCTGTGGACGACACCACATGTAGAACCATCTTAGAGTTGGCAATGATAATGATACAAATACAATATGATCATACATGATCCAGCTCCACCTAGCAGCTTGAAACAATATCCATTTATCCATAATTGCCCATGAGTCCATGGGTCAGGTGGATGTTCTGTCTTTCTGGGGATGTCTCAGATCTTAAGGGCTTACAAGCTTAAATACCTGGAAATCCTCTTAGGAAACTATGGGGTAAGTCATATATTTATCTTCATTTTTGTAGGTAGGTCATTGAGGCCCAGAGAGGTTAAGCGACTTGTGTGTGGTCACACAGCATACAAGTGGAGTAGCCTGAACCCACCTGTTTGACCACTCCAAGGCAGAGGAAGGCATCACCAGTGAGAGGCACAAGGACATTGTCTCTTGTATCTTATGTGAGTGACAGCTGTCAAAAAACCAGGCATGGGGTCCTGGCTATCTGTGTAACCTCCTTGCAGTGGAGGCTGGAACCTAGCAAACTCTCTACCAGCCCCGGGGTTGGGCTGGGAGGATCACCCTCGCATCTCACTCTGGCGCAGCCTGCGGGAAAGGAAGCCTTCTGTGGAGTTTACCACCCGAGCCTGCCGCGTTGCCAGAGGTGAGGGGCGAAGACTCCCTGCCTACCGACCGCCTTCTCCCTCTTGCTGTCTCTTTTTCCTGAAGTCATAGGAGCTGAGCAGGAGGCTGGGGGTCTGGCAGGCTGGGTGATAGCTAGTTATCCACAGGTTGATGGCTGCCCCCGAAGACTGCCTGAGGATATCAAGGCGGAAGCCACTTCTGAGGCCCGCTGCTCCCGGAGAGCCTGCTGCCGGCATCTCTGCCCAGGGCTCGGCGCTTTCCCTCACCATCTCATTAATCCTGATTCACAAAAAAAGGCAGCAGGCAGGGGCCCTCTTAACAGGCCGAGCGGGCAACTGATTTGCCTTCACTGAAGACAATAGTGCCCAGGAGACCCGGCATTGCTGAATTATTCAAATCAGCCATGGCAGGTAAATCTGAGGACACAGAGTGGCTGGCGTCCCTCAGCTCCTGCAAGCTGCCCTCCTTCCCTGCCCTGGGGTGGTGGTATCCGGCAGCTTGGGGTGGCTGGCACAGATCCCCTTGCCAGAGATGAGGGCTGCTCCTGCCCTTCCCTCCTCCCTGGATGGAAGTTGAAATTGGTGTTGATCATCTCTAAGCACCTTAGAGCTCTAGTAATGGATCTAAAATGACATTTCCTACCTCCTGATCCCTGGGGGGACATTCTGACAAATACTTTGGGATAAATGTGATGGGGCACGGGAAGATGAAGGCAGCAGGAGATGGCTATTCTGCCAATGTGTGTGTGTGTGTGCACGCGCATGATTCAAAAAAAAGCAGAGGCTGTGGGTTGAACCCTGGCTTGGCAAGCCTTGGTTTTCTGCTCCTGGAAAAGAAACACAATGAATAGGCAGGTCTCCTTGACAAGTGTGGAGATTCAGGAGCAAAACCACTCAGACTTGGTGCCGGCACTGGGTGAAGACAGAGCAAACAGAGGTATGAGAGGAGATCACATGAAACAGACAGGAGCCCAGCATGATGGGCTTCCGGGGTGGGGGAGTGTTGGAGAGTCTGAGGGGTAAACTGAGGCCCGGAGAGGGGCGGGGACTTGCCAGAGTTGTTAGTCAGTTTGTGGCCAAAATGGAATGAAAAGCCAGGGCATTCAGTTTGCAGTCGGAGGCTGTCTCTGTTAATAATACCTACCACTGACCCAACACAGACAGCTAAGGGCTTCTGAATATATTTCATTGTTAACTGTGTGATAATCTCATGAGGCTGATACAACTATTACTTCCCTTCTACTGATGAGGAAATTGAGGCTTGCAGAGATTCAGCCACTGGACAGGGTAGAAAGTGACAATCTGGATGGGAAAGGCGGTCTGTCTTAAGCTGCACCCTTAATTGCTGTGCCTCAGTGGGAGATCAGAGACACTGGGACTCTGGATCGCTCTGAAACGTGCCTCCTAGCTAAGGCTGTAGCATCAGTTTGTGATGGCTTCCTGGGTAAGCACCTCCACTTACTTGTGGTCCTCCATGGGAAAGGGCACATAGAGTTCAGCCCTTCTCAGAAAGACTGACCTTAAAGCACCCTCAGCCATCCCAGGCATCTGAAGGCAGAGCCCTGAGGAAGGGACGCTGAATGTTGGAAGGAAATTTATTAATGAAGAGGTTTGGAATCTCTGGGCACAAGATCCACCTCTTTGGGGGAAGCCAGTGGTGTCTTCTGTGTAAAACTGCCATTGGCAGGA